AAGGAAGTGTTGAAATGGTTAGGGCAAAACCTCCAAAGAGAAGTTTTTAAAGTTTGTTCACCGTTTTAAACAGATATGATTGGAAATAAAGGCTGGAAATACACAGATATTTTTCTATGCCGTTTTCTTTTTCCCCTCTCATCCATTCCAGACCTAGAAAATAATGGAAAAAAAAAAAAATTCAGGCTGTGTTAAAACCCTGTTATCAGTGTTTGTTTTCATACAGAAATATACTGCTTTTTTAAATATATTGCCCTGACAAACATTGCAACTTTGATAACATAACTTGCATATATTATTTGCACAAAGAGAGTACTGTGTTTAATAGAAGAGTACAGTTTGTTTGGGAATAGAGATGAAAAATAATAAGCTCCTGTGATATAAAACAACACACGTCAGTGATGTCTGGTTGGCCTCTGTGGCTTTGAGGCAGCAATCTTTCTCAATCGTTCCATTGTTAGCAGTTCTTCATTGTTTTTCTGGACATGTTGGCATTTTCAATAAACCTGAACAACAATCCAGTTTGAATTTCCTGTCTCTTTAATGCAACTTTGATTTCTCATTGTCATCTTCACATCAGCTGAAACAGGATCATTGGATTGGCAACACACTTTTCTCCTAAAAATATGTTACAGCGGTCATGTCTAATAACGTAGCCCTGCAACATTATTGCTCTTTAATTCAAACCATGCTGTGAAGCTAGCATGGTCTGGTTCCTGACAAGGCTGGACAGTCACTTTCCCCATTTGGATCACATGAGATGCGGGAAATTAACTAAACTCAATCGCTCCAAAAATATGTTTTTATATAGATACAATTTTCCTATACCTGTACTTTAGGAATAGCTGATTCTCATGATAATATAATGAAGTAAAAATAGAGCAAACAGCGCACTTCTTAAATGCTTAAAGTTATTTCTAAGCAACTTTTACCAAAAGCAAGATTTTCTAATATCGAGCATCTCTAGTTGAAGTGGAGCCCAAATCAATATTTAGGGTGAATCCTGTTTATGTTTGTTGCATTTGAAGATGATTGCAGAACCAAATGATGTTTGCTAAGAGCCATTCCTCATTTGGTAACCGTTATTTGACTAAATTAACTACACCCTGACCCTATAGATCAGGGGTCACCAACTCCAGTTCTCAAGGGCTACCATCCTGCAACTTTTAGATTCACCTCTGCTCCAAAATGTCTGAATTCCCTCACCAGCATTCATTCCTCTCTGCAATAGGCTGGAAACGAGCAGTTTATTTGATCCAGGTGTGTTTGAGCAGAGACGCATCTAAAAGTTACAGGATGGTAGCCCTCGAGGACCGGAGTTGGTGACCCCCTGCTATAGATGTTCTACCTTCATACTTTTTGCATAACATTTTTCAAAAGTGATTCTTAGACATCTTTCTTTCTCTGTTTCATTTGCTGTTTGGATTCTTTCTCACATCCATTTAGCTCCCTTCCTACACCTGAAAGGAGAGCTGTAAATAACTTAGCCGCCTGTGTTCCGCTGTCAGGAATTTGTCATGGTGGTTTTTGGCACTGGGATCTCTTCACTTGTTTGGTCTTTTCTGGATTCCCCCCAGGTTTCCTCCCAGAGAAAGGCTGGCTGATTTATTTTTCTCAGCACTCTCAATATAGCATGCCTGCTGAGGTACTTGGTGAAATAATAGCATGAGTAGGAAAAGCCAAATGCTAATGGACTGACAGCACTCAATTACAACATTGTATTTGCTATTTAAATCTAGAAGAACCAGGACTAAAATATATATATATATATATATATATATATTAATCCTGAACCTAAAAATTTAGATTCAGTGCTGTCTAAAATCTGAATTTAACCTGAGACTTTTGTGCATATTTAAATAAGATTTGATTAGTATGAGGTAAAGCTGATGTTCCCATGATAAAACCTGGACTACTAAAGTCACCCTGCAAGGTGGATGAGTCACACCATCAATCATGATCACATTTCAAGCTCTCAGTGGTGACTACATCATGACAAAGCTGCTGCTGCAAATGTAAGCAAAATCTGAAGCACACCACAAACCTCATTCCTTTGTCAAAAAGAGCAGCTACAGAAGAAAAAATGTACACAGTGGTGAATTAAATTAAATGAAGTCAATAATTTAACCATCAAAAATCAATCTGACATAAAATGCCATGCAAAGACGTCTACAGAAGTGTGTTCCTAAGCAGCAAGAAAGCAGAGAACACCACCAATCATTTACTGTCTTGAAGCGTTTCAGACCGAGTAAAATAACAAATTATAAATATTCAGACCTATTACAAGATGATGATTATTTTCTAGACAAACGTCTGACTTCCAAAACCTAGTTGTAGAAATAAAGAACATTTGAAATACTTTTTCTTGTAGTTCACAAAAAAAAAAAAAAAAAACGTCCGTTACTCAATGAAGAGTGAAATGAAAGAAAAATACAGTAAGATGCATTTGTGAATTAACATTAGACTAACTGGGTTTTTACTGATGCAACAGTTTAGATCTTGCTGTCATATTTGACTTTTGTTTTTAAAAAAAAATATCAGATATGATATGACCTCACGCTAAAAATGTTTCAAACTAAGTATTTTAGCAACAGAAGAAAATCGCCGTAAGTCGACCATTTGTCTCTGAGCCGTAGACAGAGCAGATCAGCGGTACTTCGTCCTGGTCCTGAGGGCTTGCTGCTCTGCACGTCTCTTCACACACCTGATTTAACTGAATGGGTGGTTAGCAGACATCTGAGTTGATGTTGAGGAGGGGATAATGCCTTCCTCTGACCATCTAATGCATGAAGAACTGCGAGGCCTGAGGACCACGAGTACATCGCTGCAACGTTCAGCTTTTTTGTCTTAGTAAAAATATTGTATCATAACTGCAAGCCAGCTGCAAGACTCCTGACACAGAGTTCGCATCTCTCCGATTTCTAAGTTTATGCACTGGCTAACAGCAAGTAAGGTGCTTTTCATTACTGTTTTTCATCGTAAATAGTCGTACCCCCCTATATATGACCGATTTTATCATACCAGGTTTTCAGATCCCTCAGATCTTGTGAAAAAAGATGGAACCGAGAGCGAGAACAAAAAATGCAGGATAAGGTTTTATTTTTTTTTAATCGACATCAAACGTAATTTTCCAATTGTTGTATTTTATTATTTTCTTTTTAAGTATTTGTGGTTCTAGTGGGTATTATTTTAGTATTCTGAAACTGTTGAAGTCTTTCTCTAGCGTTTCTCCTCTTGATCATTATTATTATTCAATCACCGTTATCTCTGTTTACTTAATATATTCTGTACTTTATTTTTAGAAACTGCATCCAAGTTTCAACATCTTGTTTTTTGCTTTGAGATTGGGTTTAAGGACTTGGAGCCCATCCACTTTGTGTAATGAACCATTACCACTAACAGTAAAAAAGTTCCTTAGCATGACCCTACTGCCGCTATGCTTGACACTTGGTGTAATATTCATTGGTCTGAGAAATCCATCTTGATCCCAAATATTCTTGTCACTGTAGCCAAACAGCTGAATCTCACCTGACCATGAAAATATTCTAACATGTCTCGTTATCAATTCATTACCACATTTTTGCTTACTGAAATAATTAATATTATTATTAACGTAACAACTACCACTCAATTATTTTAGCAGCAGTATATAAGGAATCACTGCTTTCCTGTACATAAATGGTGATAATGTGAAACCAGAGTATTCTGCCTCAAGGTAACCATGAACCTCATGCTGACTTTGTGGGTACATATACTTTTTTCATCTTACCAGTTAAAGAGCAGAAGAGAGCTGTGACCTTCACATAATCATCAGCATCCTCCACAGTAACTCATCGTGGCTATTGTCCAGCTCATCATGAGCCTAGCCCAGCTTTGGGGTCTGACGTGGCTCTCAGTAGGGAGGTGGATAAAGGAGTCAGTGAGCTCATATCAGATTAACATGACCTGAAAAGGATGTCTCATTGTCATGTAACGGCGTTATAAAACAGCATCTACGTCTACATCCAAGACTCTGCTGCTGCTGCTTCAGATGTCAATTAAGGATGAAGGGAAATTGGCGATAAAGATGAAGGGGGTGCTTCTGTGATTCCTCTACACATGACAGGTAAATTCAGTGTATACAAGCTCAGGCTCAGTCGCTGACAAATATCTGGCATGCCAAATGAACTAGATGAGGGTGAAAATAGTACATGCGTTCATCACATCTGCAGCTGTATTTGTGGTTAACAGATGTGGGCATGTTTGTTGATCTGATCACGTTAGGCCCAATGAAATGCAACTCATATGGGCCACTTGTGAACTGAGTGAATTGATGACATGATGTTAAAGCAGAGGTATAACACGGAGGTATGCGAGCAATAAAGCAGTGTGACACCGGGTACCGCTGGTATTCGCAGCTTTGACACAAGAAAGCACCAAAATAACCACTACCTGAATTAATCAAATGTTTAACCGGACACACAGTCGGTGGGGCCTAAACCACCAGCCTGCCTCCATTCTATGGGCAGCAATGCGGTAGTCGGGCCGCCGGGGCTGAGCTGGAAGCCCTGACAGTCCGAGAGGGACGACGACAGGAGGCGGTAGCTGCACCAGACAAACCTACCTTCTCCTTTCGCCGCTCCCAGGAAGCTCCCATGCATCCAAAACGTGAGTCAAACTCTTCCCCACTCTTTTAGGAACGACGGTGAAGTGGGGGGGAAAGTTTAAAACAACCAGAGTCGTGACTCTCACCACTGACAAGCAGACAGACCTCTGGTCCGAGCTAACTCCAGCGGCAGCGCAGCGCGGAGAAGCCGAAACAAGCAGAGACAGAGCAGCGAGGAAAGAGGGTGATGTCATTCCGCACAGTTTACGTTCACAAAAAAAAAAAAAAAAAAACGGAAAACATTAACTTCGTTTGTTTAGCATTTTTATCAGAGATATCAAAAGGTACAGATTAAACCCTAGTTTTTAATCTCTACACGTTTTGGATCTGTTCTAACATAGGAGACGTGTGTTAGAACAGATAACGGCTAAGTTTTCTCAGACTTAGCCGTTAGCTTCTGGCACTGGATTCAAAGTCAGGAAAGATGCCATATCTACTGAATTATGCACAACTTCCAATTAAGAATTCTGTGTAAATCTTTTATACATTTTGACTGTAATATATTATTATGGTACAATTCTCTTTAATCTAAATTTCACAGTTGGGGTGTATTTTTCGATCAATTTGTGCGTAAAAAAATAGATTTTGCAATGTAGCAGTTAATGCAATTTTAGCATACTAATAATTAGATACACTAGCACAGGCTACTTACCAGAGAGTTTTAATATGGATTAATAATGAAATCCTTTAGGCATTTAAATGAACTGAAATTTGGTTAAGGATAAGAAAAAACATAAATAAGAATATCTCAGTAGTGCACAGGATGCAATATACTCGTCATTATTCCACCGTTGTCTTTTCACTCTGTTTAACCATAAAACCAAATTAATACGATTACATTTTTATACGATTTGATCAACACTAAAAATGTGAATAAATTGAAATCTATACTTAAAAAAAATCCAGTAACACGTAGACAGTCTACATGCTTCTTGATGATATAAGAACTTGGTAATATTAATTTAAATTGGTTTAGATCTTAGAAAAGTTACATTTTCAATAGATTTCCTGAAGATTAATGTTAGTCTGCTTTATCCTCCCAAAACCAGTCATGATATGTGTTTGGGAACATTGTCGTGTTGGGACACCGACCTAATAATTTTCAAGTTGTAAACATTCTGCTTCTGATTTCAGAAGATTTTGAATTTAGACGCATTCCTCCATTTTTATCATTCCATCAACTGCAATGCAATAGTATCACCGGCAGCAAAACAGACCCTCAGCATGATGCTTCCAACTTCATGCTCGACAGATGGTGCAGACACTGTTCTTGCCGATTAGGCCAAATAGCAAAGTTTTTTATCTCGCTTGACGTGACATTTGACTTCTCCATGTGGAAAGTCTGCAAATTCAGTGGCTCTTAAATATGTGGATTTTTACAGTTTCTTATTTTGCTGGTTAACACTCACAGTCATTATTAGTATAAAACCTCAGTGTAGATGGTGACACTGGAGTTCTAGCAACTTTCTGTATATCAAATTTCTTTTTCGTGAATCAACAAATCAGGCTAACATTTAGCCTCTTAAAAGCCTCAAAAATACCAAAAACATTTCGGATAAATCAATTAAAACACACACAATGAATTGTCCAATGAAGAGTGATCCATACAAGAAAGAAAATAAAAAGAAAAGACAACTGAACAGCTTAAAAGTAATAATTAATTTATTGATTGGTAGTGCTTATTTAACATTATGAAACATACAATATAAAATACAATCATAAAGATGTCAATCAAGTTATCTGCTTAGCCCCTATAAAAACAAAATAAAAAAAATATGTTAAATACAGAATATCATTGCCATAGGACCCATACAAATAGTTGTCAAAAGTAATAAAATTATTTGTAATAATTAGTTGTTTTACTGCAGCATTGCAGTGCTTTTTGTGCTTTCACATATTCCCCATTGCAAAACGAAGTGTAGAAACACAAAAAAAAGACCTGGATGAACACCTTTGAACTGGCCTCAAAACAAAAATATTTAAATTAAAAATATAATTATAATATAAAAAAATTAAGATTATAGTTCACTGGTTCTCCAGGCCCAGTAATTTGATGATTTTACAATGAAATTTAGAAAATGACACTATAATAAAACTAAATTTTTGAATTTTACAACGACGTACAACATAAGGGGAGAATTAATGACCTTGTCATAATGTACATTCAAAATCCAAGTTTGCGGTCCATATTGCACAATTGTAAACACTTCAGTGTACCATTTCCGTTCCTTACGGTTATTCATATGACAGGTTTTTGGCTCAACTAACGATAAAGAGGCACAGAAGGTTTCTTTGACTGTCAGCATTGTTGAAAATGCTTTATGGATTGTCCCATAAAGCTGTGGTCAGATTTCACCTTTCCGATTTTTCTGCTTCTTTTTTCTTTGTAGTACCTTTTTAAACCCTTCTTTGCTCTGCAGCGTTCTCTTTAACTCACAGTATAATCCAAACACACTATGGTCCCCATTCTTCACCCCAACCCTGTTCCACACACACCCGATGTTTGATTGCACAATTGCTCTGTAAATCACCCAAGGCCACCTGTCTCCTCTGCTGAGCTTTGTGGACTGTAATTATTCCACAGTCACAGACTTGGCCAAGTTTCTGGGACAGTCAACCTGGAAAAAGAGAGTGTGAGAGAGCAGTTGAGCAAATTACATAAGATCAATCACTGTAGGTGTACAGCAAAATCACCAAATCTGGACACTGTATTACATAAGGTGAGTTGTACAAGAAAGTCAAGTTCCCATGAATTCAGACATAAATCTTAACCTAGAGAAATGTACGCAGCAACTAACAAAAAGTTCCTTCTCTTTAATAGTGGAAGGAAACACTGCCATTAAACAAAGCTGGTTTGTTGCCACACACCAAAAAAACAAAGAATCTGGGAAAAGAAGCTTCCTTCCTTCACCTCAAAGACAATGAATAAATTCACAACCAGATTCAGGTCTGAACTTTGACATCCCTAAGCATAATGCTGCTGCCATTCTGACGTCCTGTGTTTTTTTTTATTTTTGTACCTCTATGCTTTGCTATATTAAATCACACTAACATCTGTATTTTCTCTACAGGAGTTGGAATATTTGAATCTGGCACAGAATGTCTCACAAAATGTCTGATGCATGTCCAAAGTTCTTGTGCGTAAGAAAATCGGCTACTTACATCATATCCTCGCAGGACAGCTAGGTGGAAGGACAACAGCTGTAGGGGGATGACACTGAGGATGCCCTGCAGACAATCCACAGTCTGTGGCAGCTCGATGGTCTTGTATGCATTTTTCATCAGGTCTGAATCATCCTGACAGCACAGAAGAATGGGTCGGCCCTGTTGGAGAGAGAAATGTGTGTGTATTTATTATTTATATATATATATATATGTGTGTGTGTGTATATTCTATTCAGGGCTTACCGATCTGGCAGTGACCTGTTGCAAAGCATTCTGACACTTGGTGTAGCAGCCGTCACGCATGATGACCATGATGACTGGCATGTCTTTGTCGATGAGTGCCAAAGGTCCGTGCTTCAGTTCTCCGGCCAGGATGCCCTCTGAGTGCATGTATGTGATCTCCTTGATTTTCTACAATAAAATAAGGAAAATAAAACTTATTGAGATTATGTTAAATATGTGATTATAAATCAATTAATGTCATTTTTCTACTCTTTAGCATTTCTTAATATAAGGTGCATAAAAAGTGCACATATACATAGCATATATAATATTTATGTAGTAGCAGGGAGAAATGAGTTATTTAGACGCTACAGTACTGTGAAATCCTTAACTCACCAGCGCCCCCTCAAGGCAAGTGGCGTAGTTGTACCCTCGTCCCATAACCAAAAGTGACCTTTGCTGATACAGCTCGTTGGCTATGGTCTTAATTTTCTCATCCAGTGACAAAACCTTTTTTATCAGCTCTGTGAGAATGTATAGAAGTGAGTCATGACCACATTGACATCTTACAGATTAAAGATCTACCTTTTCACACAGCTATTGCATCACACCATTTCCTTAACATGATCTAGAATCCTTATACACATTTCAGGAGTTATTTCTGCTTTGGTTTTTAAATCCTGCAACTGGTAATACTAACCTGGTAGCATCTTGAGGCCGTTAATGATGTCCAGTCTTCTCTTCTGCAGTGACAGCCTGTCTTCACTCATCATCAGGCCAAACATGATGAGGGACACAAACTGACTGGTGTAGGCCTGAAAGGGAAGCACACACTCAACACCTGAGTAAAGACCATCTGGTTCAGTAAAAGCAAACACAGTGTCAAACTGCACAACTCTGTGTCCATATTCCTCGACCTACTCTTTTCTTACTTGCCACTTAATTAATTGTGTATAAATGAAAATCATTTGATTCGTTGAAGGTTCTTCATGGTAAAAAAAAAAAAAATCTATATGTGGAAATGAAGCTTTTTCTCTGAAAGGAAAATGTTTCTTTTAGTGCTGAGCTGTGCTTCCTAAGTATGACTTTTGCTAAAAGGATTCCAAATTGATATTCTTTCAGTCTCATAATCTGTAGCGCCGGAGAGACGTTTACACGCGCTCATTTTAAGCTTAAATGCCAGTTTATGACTGATAACTTTATTTCTTCTGAACATGAATCCAATGGTAGAAACTTGGAGAAAAGTGGAAGGCAAAAAAACACGGACATGGACAAAGGAGACTAATATTATTTTCCGGAATAGTCCTGACCTTTGGTCTGTTAAGTATTTATGAAGTATGCTTAACATCCAGGTCTGTGCCAAGAAAGTAATCAGTTTAAATGAACTCCACCAATTCTGATAAGAACGCTTGTCAAATATTTGGTGAGAATTATGCCAGGACCTCGCCAGTGGCTAGAAATGCCGTGTAGTTTCTCTGCAACTTGTTAAAGAAAGTGACATGTAGGCAAATACTTATGAATATAATGTAGATATTTTGGACAGTGTGCATAATGACTGCATGATTAGATACAATCCACAATAAATTAAATGTGCTCCTACTTATTTTTCAGAAAAATATCTGGAATTGTTTGTTTGTATGTTACTTCATCCAGGAATAAGATTAGTTCAAATATGCAATGAAAAGTCCTTGATGAGCTCTGATTCAAATAGAAGAAAGCCTTCACAATAGTGCAGGGATTTGAGACGTAGTTAATTAAAGACTGATCATGCTGAGGAGAGTGTACCTTGGTACTAGCCACT